GGGGTGGTAATTATGCTAACCTCCTCTCACGTGCACGAGCAGCTGGATACGAACAGGTGGAATTAGCTCATTTACACACTTTTCCTGAAGATAGAAGAGTTTGTTGAATCTGACGTGACATGTTCGTACGAACCCTTTGTACGAACAAAAGTAAGAGAAATTTAGGATAAAAATACGAACATGTTCTTGCATGAGGCCCATTGTTTCTACAACCCCAATTCCAATGAAGTTGGGACGTTCAGTAAAATAGGAATAAAAACAGAATATGATGATTTGCAAATCCTTTTCAACCTACGTATAGCATCTTTCTATCAAACCAGGATGCTCAAAGCGCTGTACAACACAATCTGTGTCCTCATTTACCCATTCACACAGCACTCTCACTGTAAAAAAATGAAATGTTGGATTCATGTAACCATGTTATGTTTCCTGGTTCCACTTAACTGAGTTGAGTAAATTCAAAGCAACATACTCATGTTCTTTGGTTAAAAAAACTGGTATATTGCTTTGAATTTACCCAACTCAGTTAAGTGGAACCAGGTAACAAAACATGGTTAAGTAAATCCAACATTTCATTTTTTACAGTGTAGATTTCTCTACAAAGCTAATACAGTTAAATCAATCTGTAGGGACTAATCAGTGCTCTTAATCACATTCATACACTGATGGGACACATCAGAGGCAGTGGGGCTTCAGTGTATTGCCCAGGGACACTTTGACATGTGTCAGAATAGTGGTGGACTTGAACCACCAACTCTTGCATTAGCTGAACAACTCCCCTAACCTCTCTGCCACAGCCAAACAAACAGAAAGCATAATTAAATCTAATTAAAATATATTTGTATTAGAAATGGAAAAAATATAACAGATTATGAATCATGGAGTTAAAAATAATAATAATTAAAAAACATTCTAAGTTTCTACTTTAATGTAATTTTTTATCATACTGCTTACCTTTAGAGTTAATGTTGTGACTTTAATATTAAATCTCTTTAATAGTTTTGTTTTAAACTGATTTTTAATGCATCAGTATGAAAGAGTATTTACACCACTCCAGTAGAAACAATGTAGGACTGTGTCAATGATTTTCTATTATATGTTACTATTATTATTAAAAATATTTACACACAAACACAGTAACACTGACATTTTATGATAACATTGTTCAGATTTGAAAATAATTTTAAATTAATGTGATATACATGGTGGTTATAACTTGAAAACATTTTGTTTCAATGCCTTATAAGAACAAAACCGTGTAACAGTAATGAATATATTTATGCTTCTCTTTTTCTATTTGGGTGGCAGTTATTGGCTTCTGATGAAAACTGGTTAGAACTTTTTTAATCATTACAGAAGCATCCTGGCACCCAAACAAATAAAAAGAATCAAGTCACAATTTAACATTTAAATACTAGTGTTTTAAATACTTGTCACAATAAACATATTTTCATGTAATCGCTTAAAAGATTCCAAAATTTTTATTGATCAAATCTGAACATAAATAAAAACAATGCATAAACATTTGGAGAAAGTATTTAGTTATGAAGGTAATGACTAACAAAGACAAATGAAAAAAGTTATTGTTCAAACAATAAACCTTTTGCAATATAACAATACATGTTTGTGTTTTTGTTTATGGCAGTAATGTGCAGCCATATTTTGATAACACTTGATATCAAATTAAAACCAACTCGAACTGAAATCTATCCCATGTAAGAAAATCATTTTGAAGAACATATTTATCAAACAATGACTTAAAATGAAACTGATTTAGAAGCAATTTAATGTTATAAAAAAAGAAAATAGATTGAACTTTAACCTTATTGAGGAAGCAGAGAGCCAGGAATGACAAGAAGCTGCTCACATCCATCTTCTTGTATTTTCTAAAAAGAAAGTTGTAACATGTTGTTCAGAAGCAAAATATCTTTAAAACATGATTTTTTTTTCTGATTCTGCATGACACAAAAGAAAATGTTTTATACATTATGTACATTTAAAGTTTAACCCATGTTTTTGTAAAGTAGTTCCAGTTCATTCTGGGTTATTTTTACTTAATTCACAGGAAAAAGTAAACATTTCATCACTGTTGCAAATAGTTTTCCCCTCAGAGTTTCCTGTGTGTCGACGACAGCAGCTGCTCACCATCCCTCCCATGTAATCCCACCTTCAGAAACAATTGGAAACCTCTTTGTCTTTTTTTTTCCTTTGCTTTTTGTTTGCTATTTCATGATGGAATTTGCAGCATTAATATTGCTCGACAGCTAAATGACAGATTCATGCAACGTTTCCCCAAATGAGCAATCAGAGAAGATGGCAAATCTGGCTTCGTGTAAACACAACAGAGAGTAAAACCTTTGTTTACAATATTTAAAGGTAAGTCTCCCCTTATTTTTGGGATGTCAGGGTCACAAATTTAGCCTGTGCTTCCTGCGCTCCCCACAGCTTCCTTCCTGCCTGCTGTTTAATGAATGCTGAGCAGGTTTAACCAAGGTTGAGCCAAAAACACATCAACAAGTTTGGCTTTCATCCTCACCAGCTGCACCAAAATTAGATGCTTTCATTTGCTGTGTCAGTCCAGGGAGACAGATTAAACAAAACTTATAATTATATAATTCAAGCAAACGTTTCATTTAGTTTTATTTTGATTTGATTTGATTTGATTTATTGATTCAACAGGAAAAGATTACTAAAAATCAAGCCTGACTCAGCATGTTTTGCAGCAGGTTCCTGTTTTGCAGCACATAAAACACCCAGAAATACAGCATCACAATCACATCATTATACACATTTTATTTTATATTTGAGCAGACTATTTTGCAATGTATTAAAATGGTCATGATCATGATGTTTTCAGACTTGCTGAAGGACTTTTAAAGGTGTTTTTTGGACTTTGGCTACTTTTTTACTCAAATTAGTCCAGTACCTGACAATTCTCTGATGAATGTGTTTGTTAAAACACTTAATCGACCTAAGAGTCATTCAGACATTTAAAAAAAAATTAAATTTAAGGGATGAACCTGTGTTGTGACACAATGAAAAAAAAAACAATTTAGCAATTTTACATAGGACCTTTTAGGTTTTTGGTGACAAGCAGTGAATCTGAAAATCAATTTGTCTAAATGTTCATAGTTGAATCTACAAAGAAAGAAAGAAAGAAAGA